CAATTCTGTATAGGGCTGCGAAACCAGGACACAGAAAGAAGTTCTGAAAGATGTAAGAGTAAATTCCTCCGCAAGCTAACCGGATCGATCTGAGGTTAAAAAACTAACTCATGGAGGAGATACCAATAAAGAACTACTTACAGGAACTTATCAAAAAATGTATCATAATGTGAATGCTAGGAGCTTAAGATGAGCGGGATAATTTGATTTGAGGAATACATCAGGAATCTTCAACTCTACAATGAAAGCTTCAAAAGTAGGCAAGAGAAAATGCAGATAACTAGAAAAAATTTCAAAATAGGCAAAGATGAATAATGTTGTTTAAGGGTGGTAAAAGATCTACAAGATCAGTAATGTTAAAAAAAAAAATGTTATTATATAATTTTTACAAGCAACGCGAAGGATTAAAATTACCAAGGCTATTCTCCATGTTTTAAGGAAAAATATTATAACATATATGTATTTATTCTGTAAAGCTAGGATTTTCCATTTGTTAGAGTACAATTTTTATCGTCTTACAGTTCACTACGATGTTCCTTTTTGAATTTTATCTCATGAAATTTACAATTAACTATTTTTTATTTTTAACAGCGATAATATATTTCAATGCCAGTATAAAACGAACAATTTTTCTATCAGCTTTGTAAATAAATGCAAATTTCCTGATAACTGAAGAGCTGCTAAAGGTTTAAAGGGCCAATGATGAGAGATATCTATGGGTAGTTGAGCGGGAGTAGATAGCTCTTAGTGGGAAGTGATGTTGCCTTCATTTAGCACATCAAAGCCTGCTTTTCTTTCAACCTGGGTTTCCAATGAGCTTTTTTTCTCTCTCTTTTTTTTTTCATTCAACAAAAATGAACATTTCCCCTCCTAAAAAAAAGAAGAAAAAACGCACTTTTATTTATTAAAATATTACAGGCTAATTAATTGAGCTGAATAGGTCCCTTGATATGAATTAATACAGGTATTATAAATGTCAAACAGCTTTTGAAAATGAAAAAAAGAAAATACGTACCATCTATTGGCATATACATGGCTGTTATCAATACTTTAAGGCCTTATTAATTTTTTTATTAGGCGTGAACGTTTTTTAATATAAAGATATTTCTTGTCCTTTACTCATTTTCTATTGGAATGATACTCTATGGGAGGAATATAATATGTATTTCTTGACTTGAAAGCTTTCGATCGAAACTTAAAAATTCATCGTAATTTCAACTAGTCAAAAGCTATGCGGAAATCATAAAAATTGCTTATCTCTTGCACTGCATCGCAGTTCTTAATAAATGTAGAAAAGTCATTTAATAATTGGCTATTGAGTGGTATAATTAAATTTTGGACATATAGTTTCTCTTTAAATGCCCAATTTTTCAAATTTAAAATCTAGTGGATGTTGTTGTAGATATTTTGATTTAATGAGAAGTTATTGGACTTAATAACCATATAAAACCTTCAAAGCGCCGTTGAATTTTGTCAGGTATGGTAAAAATCCTTTTACGATTCGTGCAACTATAATAATTATATAAATAAAAACGCCATGTTTCAATTGCCAGTTGGACCATTATGTATATTCTGAGAAATTTAAACTAGGAACCCTTATGGTCTGTAAATCAGATATATAATAGGAGACAAATGGTTTCAAAGCACAATGAATCGAGTGGAAAATAAGGACTAATCCTACATTTCAGAACGTTGTGGCCAACACCAAAACATCCATTAAGTACAAAAACTTCTTTAAATTAGTATGTAAAGAACAAGAAGGATTATTATGCCGGAACAACTAGCGAAAGAGATACCATGGCAGGTGGAATGCAAACAGGGTGACTGTCTATGGTATGTTACTAAAAGAAGACGACTTCAAGAAGAAATTAAAACCTTGAAATCAACGAAGTTGAGGAGCAAAGTTCTCATAATAAATACATCATTGTTTGCTCTAATGAAGTGATTTTAATTTTTTTCAAAGGGTTCAAAACCAACCAATAAATCGAACTAAACTTATAATTTCAAATTTTAAAAACATATATTGTCATTTATATGTCATTGAGATATAAATCTCACGTGGTGCACTATATTTTCAAGACAATTCTACTATTGTAAGTCACCACTTCAAAAGTTTTAAAATGTTTCTTAATTTAATTATAGGAGTAGAGGTGAGGGTCTAGTATTTATGTAATCTCTTATTCGTGTTTTACTCTCATGTAGAAAATTATTTGGAAGTTATTTAAGAAAGTACCTCAAGATGTAATTTTAAAGTATAGCTCTTAAGAATAAAATAAAACCAACCATCTGACAGGTCCCACCATTATTCTTCTGTGCCAGGAAGCTCGACAATTTTCGTCCGAGAGAAGTTTTTTAAAGTCAAAAATAAAAATATAAGGACGGCCTTAAAAAAAAAAAAAAATAAATAATAAAGTTATTTTAAACATTTCAAATTTGAATATTTTTTCTTGTAACTTCTATAGTATTGTATTAATTGTTTATTTTTATTTCTTTTCCATTGGAAAAGAATTACTCTCATTTTAATTAATCATTCAATTATGAATTGAAAAATTATAATCTTTTAATTTAAAATTTCTTGAAAATATGAAGCTTTTTCTAACTGCAACATATGAATTTATTCATTAAAGATTTTTATTTAATATTAAATACACTATAAATATTATAATATTCAATATTATATACATACAAATTTTTATTCCATATTTTCCTGATAGGGACAGTAAAAATAATCCTACAATCCATCTATATATTGAAACAAAGATAGTCGCTATTATTATGCACCCAATGCCCTTAAGTGTGGTAAAATTTATTATTTCTCAATAAAAAGACCTTAAAAAATATATATTTGCAATAGCGCGTGTTCCCTGCTTCTGGTTTAGACACCATTCATATCGCAGCAACGCGCTTGAGAAAAGAAAATGGAATTTATTTTACCTTGACGTAAGCTGAATAAAAGTTGCACTTATCTGTCAAAAACATACACAACAGTGAATGACTGAAAATGTGGACGTATTCACATTTTTTTATAAACCCATAATATCCTCAGCTATTGATTTCATTATATGCATAAATGATTTATGAATAATCATTATGAGAAAAATACCCATTACGAAAAATACTAACTATTCAACAGTTTCAATTTTTTTTTGTTTTTTTTTTAAATTTCGATTTTTTCCTACTTTTATTTCTTACAGAATTTATCGACATCAAATTTCTAAATGGTAGTTTTGTCTATTATGAGATAACCCTGATACCATTTGTCTCTTGTTTTGTCCACAACGGTTATTAATCCTGTCAACGAAGGAGTTGTAGATTGCATAGAGGATAGAAAAGCATTTGACTTAGGAAATTTATTGTGTGTACTTAGGAGGTAAACATATTTAAAGTCCCCGCTCTTACCTCTACAGCATCATGGTCACTTTTCCCAGATTTTTTCATGTATCTTCAAAACGGGGCGTCGCAGATGAAACATTGTTGTATAAAAATTAAAGCTGATAAAAGTCCTTTCAAGAAGTTTAATTTGATGCAACAAGAATCAAAATCGTGAGATTTAAGTTTCAAAACAGCAAAATGTGCAATTTCATGCAAAATAAAATTACAATATGTTATGCTACAAGTCGTGAAACGGATAGATAATTAGGTTTGAAATTTTGCCCACAATCGAATAAAATGTTCAATAACATTGAAATCCGGTCTCTATTAATAATTATTGCTTTTTTTCTTGATTTTTTTTTCAGGAAGTTTTTTCTAGAATTAATTTTTTACTTATAAATAATAAATTTATTGATTAAATAAGTTCACTTACCTATGAAATATTTTATTCTACCTTCGCTATTGTTGTATCGGTTGTACAAACCGCAGCTACTAAACTGATTACGAAAGGAATATTGTTATTCTAACAAGGTTTACATTGAATAAATATTGAAAGGGTATCCGAGAGGCTTCTGTAAACACTGGTTCTGTTTTGCAAATTCGATGTAAAGTAATGGACACCGTCAAGACCCTTCGGATCCGCTGGAATATTCAATGAACGTATTATGTTTCAGATTTGTAAATTCAATATAAGATCATGATTAAATTAATAAAATATTTTCGCAACTATACAAGAGAATCTTTGTTTTAAAATGCAACAAATGAAGTTATCATTTTCTCTAAAAGGCGATTTAGGAGTTTAAAAAAACAACTAAGATGTGTTTTTCAATCCAAATGATAGAAGTCAAACAGGACGAAGTTAATAAAATGGAATATAAATTATAAATAATAGCTCATTATAAAGTGGATAAAATGCTGAACATTTCTCTCGTTTACAGTATACAGGCCCGATTTTTAGTTTCTGTGATATTTTAATCCAATACTTCAATAAAACTCGTTATAATTTGGTTTTCGACAATAATTTTTCGACTCTCATGGCATCGCGTCAAGATATAATTTTGAATAATAGCCCATTACAGAGAGGATGAAATGCTGAACAATTCTATCGCTAACAGTATGCAGGTCTCATTTTTAATTTCTGATATATTTTGATCTAATACTTCAATAAAACTCGTTATAATTCGGTTTTTGAAAAAAAAAAATTTCCTTTTTGCCTCTCTAACACGGTGCCGCTCTAACCGCTTTAAGATACAATTTTGAATAATAGCCTATTACAGAGAGGATAAAATGCTGAACAATTACCTCGCTTACGCTATGCAGATCCGATTTTTGGTTTTTGAGATAATTTAATCCACATGCAAGCACACTTCTATTAGTCGACTTTGCTGGAGCGTTACACTTTGAAAATCTGACGGATAAATCTAATTCACTTTTCATAAAAAAGTGAAAAACGTGCCTAAAGATGGTTTTACTTAAAAAAAAAAATCAATACACGATTTTTTTGTCATTTGACTATTGGTGATTGTTTGCGGAGTGACAAATTCAGTCATACGGACAAATATGTGTTAATAGTATGATAAATATTAGTGTAATTCTTAAACTTAACATATTATATAGAAATGCAAAGTGAGGATATTAAATGACATGCAATTTTTTCTTAATAATATAATTAAACACTATTACTATATAGTCCTTGAATGTCACAGATTGTAATATATCTCAATAAAGACTATCATAAAAAAATATATAACTAAATATGCTTAACCAGGAAGGGAATTATTAGATATGCTTGTAGTTGAGGCCCATGTCCTGCTACATCTCGCCACAGCCCATCCATGCCTGCTGTTACCTCGCTTCACGGTAATCTCTTCTTCACCCTATTTGCCTTATGCACGACTTTTGGAGCGGTTGCGTTGAGAGCTGCGGAAGCGATGAACCCCCCCAACGATCTAGGAAGACGCTGTCGATACTGCATGACCATTCCCTTCGGTTCCACATCGGCTGTCGTCTCCACAAGTATTGGAGCTAGGAGGCATGATACGCATAATAGTATGATCTACAAAAAAAAAAAAGTTAAATACACCGAGAGCATTACAAGAAAAAAATTAACTTTGATTAAAACGTAAAACTCTGTCAATCTAATAATGAAATACATTAAATATTAAATTTATTTTTGTAATCTATAAAAGTGTAAGATCGTGGCACAATACTGTACAAACACTTCACATATATATTATTAGTATATTTGCATTAAGAAACGCCTTATCCTTAATTTATCCAACAACGTATACGTCAGGGGTGTACCGGGGGTTCGGTACCGGAAAGTGTACTCGTACTTTTTTTTTTAATCTCATAACTTCGGTTATCGGTTGCCGAACAATTCGCGGTGCTCTCCATAAGTGTTAGTGTTACCTCGCCTCCTAATATATATCTTTTTATATCTATATATCTCTAACTTCCTCCTTGTGCCATATCCAGCGTCTCAATCGAACGCTGCCAAGCGTTCCCTTCAGAGTTGCTTCATTTCTTAAGTTTTTCCTCCAACTCTTTGGATATATCCTTCTTTCGAAATTCCAGGCCCTCCAAGTCGCCTCTTGCCAATAGGTGGAGCTTCAATAACCTTTCTGGTTCCCAGTCTCCACTCATTCGACATATATGAACGAACGACTTGAGCTGTCTTTTCTCAAGGGCGGATTTTAGAGAAGGAGTTTTCAGCTCCTATCTAACCCTTTCATTTCTAAAGCGCTCTATTATGGTTTTGCCTGGGACCTAAACGTTTCATTTCAGTTCCTCTGATTCTGCTTACCTGCTTGTCCAGCATGTCTCAGGTCTCGCACACGTAGGTAAGATTAGGAAGTTATTTTTTGAAGTTGATTTGTAGAAATGAAACTTTTCTTTGTGTCACATATCTCAATGGGCAAAAATGCTATGGCAGATTTGGTTAGCATTAGCAATTCTACTTCCCAATCCATTGCACCCTGTCTCTTTATGTTGGTGTCTAAGTAGTTAAAGTTCTCAACCACTTAAAGAACCTCACCATTACAGTCCGCCTCTATTGTCTCCCCCTCTTCTCGGGAAAGAACTAGTACCTTACTCTTAGAAGGATTGATGAGCATCTCTTTTCGAATAAATTCTTCCTGCCAGTAAAACTTGCTGCAGTTTCTCTTTCCTTTCACAAATGAGGACGATATCAACTTCATACAAGAGAAACTGACTGAGTATGTTCCACTTACCAATGACGATTCAAGATATTCACCTTTTAGAGATTTTATGGATTTCATCCATAAGTACAGTAAAGAAGAGTGGACACAGACTTCCCTTTAATATGTGAAGTTCAAATATTATTTAACTAGTTAACTAGGAAAAATACAGAACTGGTTGCGAATCCTACTACTTTAGGACGTAATAGATCATAATTACATAAAACTTAATGCGTTCAAAATATTTGGTAAATTAAAAAAATCAATAAAAACACTTTTTGTCTGCACATTCTGACTATTTTTCATCCTAATATTTTAACATTCAACCATATACCCGTCATTCAAGCTTTTGTTTCACGTCATTATCTTCATTAGAGAAAATTAAAAAGGTTACAAATTAAACATGAATCTTATATATAATTATCAAACGTCGGGAACTTCTCTGAAGTTTCATGAACAATTTATTTCAAAAAGGTGATTAGTAGAGACCAATTGTTTTTGTCAAAATAAAAGTTATCATACTTACAATGTTCTGCATTTGTTTCATACGCAGTTTGAACTCCGAGAACTGACTGATTTTCGAGTAAGTAATAAAGCGTTATATAGTTTAAGAAAGGAATATTTAATACTGTTTACATGGGTACACGAGAAGAATGGGCCATTTATAAAAAAAATGGCCATTTTTCGGAATAACTGTTATATAAAGGTGTGGAAATAATATTTCCGGGTGTTTTTTTTTTTCGATTAAATTACATAATAATGTAATATAGTTATTATATAAGGTGCTGATTAATCCATATCCTCGATTACTCGACCGTAGTTTTATAACTACAAAATTCACAGTATATGTAATCCTTATCCACACGTGCCATCAATTAAGCCAATTGGAGGATAATTTAACAATTAAACATGTGAGGCATTATTTAGCCCTCTAGATAAGTAAGTGATTGAATCCAGACTTTTTTTTTTTCTTGTCACGTACCCCAGACATAATAAGTAAGCTTGAACTATCCGTTTCTTTCCAGTTTAGTAGCCATATCATTACCGTTTTAAGACTTTTCATCGGGATCTTAGAAAATACAATAAATTTTTATTCACATTATTTCTAAAATATTGTGAATAATAAATCCACACACTGTAAAAATGTAGAGATCAATCTGAATTATTTCGATTTAAAAAAAACAGGAATTTAGTAAGAAAGAAAGAAAATTGATAATGAATGCCCTCATGTTATTTCACGCTTTGAAAGGCTATTTTATTACAACTTTATGCTATCTTAGTGATTAAAATTATTATTACAACAAGCATAAAAAAAAAAACATAGTTATAATTACCGTTAGCTCAAAATATTGTATGTGACAATTAATTTTCCATGTTTTTATTTGTGCTAAAGATAAAATTTTGTTGCATCCAACTGCAATAAGTATTCTGCTAGTTTGAAAAACAGCGGAGGGGGGTACATCATAAAATTATACTAATCTCTATGAATAAAATAAAGTTTTAGTTTGTACATTGAATAGAATCAACCTGTTTCATGATATCTTTCCGTTTCATACATTAAAGACACTAAATGAACTTTTAAAAATTTGTTTGTCTGCCTGTACGTCCGTATCATCCAACGAAATTTTGTCAGGGTTAAGCTCAGCAATGGCTAATGGTAGACTGTTGAAATTTTGACATTATATTTGAGTTTGCTTGATTTAAAACATAGCCTTTAAATGAAAACAAAATATTGAGTAGAACCAACATTATGAATTCATGAGTAATTTGTCAGGAGATCCCGGTTAGGCAATCAGTAACTTGCTTCGATTCTCATCCCAATCTACTCTACCGCGAGTTACATTTAAAAGTTGTACTATTCAAATTATAGAAAAAAATATCAGAACTCAACAGGGAAAATCCCTAACATCTATGATGCGTTGTCGCTTAAAACACACTTTTTTTCAACTTTGTCTGATCTTCCCATTCAAGATGTCATTCGATTTAACTCCCGAGGCTTTTATGTAAATAAATCAATGTTCACATAAGACCTTTTGCTATAAAAATAGCGTTACAATAATTTCATTTCATATTAATTTGTCCACAGGAGATAAAAGATAAATGATTCTGAAAATTGCTTCGCCTTATTTATGAGTTGTATTTTGAACAGTATCAAATATTTTATAATTAGTTTACTAAATTACAAGCCACATGATTTAATAACTGGCCTAGCCTGTACAACAGAAATCCTGCAGAAGAATAAGAAACAAGGAACTCTATGAGCTGCTCCAGGATATAGTTGTGACTTTATTAGACTGGGACGCCTTCAGTGGGTAGGGCTTGTTGCACGGATGAGTCACGACGAAATGCCTAAAAGAGCCATGAAGAGGAAATCCGTTGTCCAAGAAGAGTCGGACGGCCTAAGCTCTTGTGGATAGATGGCGTGGTAAAAGACGCACGAGACTTGCTTGGAGTCCCAAATTGAAAGGCAGCAGCCCAAAACAGAGCCAAATGGCGGGGGCTAATATAAGAGACCAGGACTCATCACAGGGTTGTAGCGCCATCTGATAGATAGACAGACAGTCTGTACAAAGTAAAAAAGGCCAACATATCTTCAGCAGTGAAAAACTGTATTCACCCAATAACAATAACAATGATATCCAAAACTGTTTAAGTATATAGATTTATTAAATTCAAGTATATAGAATTCAATTTTGGCCCAATATTCACGACTTCCAATATTATAAACTGTAAACTACACATGTCTATTTTTATTTGTATTTGATAACTGTTGTGAAAACAAGTGATGACCCTTAAACAATGGTAACAATTTATATTGAAAGAGATGATAGTTGACCTCATTACCTAATAAAGAATCAAAATTTAATTTAATTTTTATTTTTTCAATTCTCAGCTTTATGCCGGATAAATTCACTGACCCGGACCGAGGTCAAGGGTAAGTTTATTGAATATTTACTTTGAAATATTAAATTATTTTCGAACAATGCTGGCAGTTCCCAGCATTATTGCTTTCTGGATTTCCTGAATTTCCCAGCTTCATCCAACCTTCATTAGTTTTTGAGTCTCCTCAGGAATCAGGCCATTGCTGGATACAATAATAGGTAGTACTTTTAACTCCTACCAGGCGTTATAACTGCCTTAATTCCTAGCATAGCTCTTGATAGTTCCTATTTTTTTTTCTCTTAATGTTTTAGCTACATTATCATCAGCAGGAACTCCAACTTCGATAATTATGGCTTTCTTTGTTTCTTTGTCAACGAGCAGTATATTTGGCATATTGTGGGGAATACTATGGTCGGTTATCATAGTTTGATCCCAGTATAGTTTGACATTCTCTTTTTCTAACATTGCCTGATATCTATAAAAGTGCTGATGGCCTGTAATTTACTTATATTTTTGTCCCAGAGCCTGATGCACGATTTTGGCCTCATTATTGTGCCTCGGTATTCTTTACCCATTAATGCCTGACAGTCAGAGGGCACATGTTGAATCGGTTCATTTGTGGCTTCCTGTAGGAGGAAGTTGCCATTACCTGTTCTTGTATTGCCAGAAGGGAACCCCCTCTGTCTCTGGGGACATTTTCCCTGTAGTCAACCAACGGAATGAGGCTTCTAAATGTATTACAGGTGTTTTCAGGGAATTGTAAAATCTTCCTGTTCACGGCAGGGCTTCATTAAACTAATAAGTCCTCTACTTCTATGCAAATATAGGCTTGGCACTGAAGATTTTGAGTGACGTCTGCATGATTTTATCATTTCCGTTCTTAATAAGCGGTCCATCTTTTTCAAATTCGTGGCGCACCATTTTATTACTCCGAAGGAATATGTAACAGCAGGAATCGCTCAGGTATTCAAGACTTTTACTAAATTTCCTGCCGATAAATTAGTTTTTAGCAGTATTCTAAACCGTTTCTTTAATTCTTCTTCAAAGGTTCCTTAGATCTCTTTTTTGAATTTAAGGAGCTGTGAGATACCAAGATACTTTTAGGAGTCAGTTAACTGAAGCTGCTTGACATCACGATTATTATGTTCAATATTAGGTTGATCCTTATATATTTTTCTGTGGACATTAAGGATTGCGCATTTGTCTGTTGCCAACTCAAGAAGAGTTCTCACGTTTCTCTCGTTCTTCGCATAGAGCTTTAAGTCATCCATATAAAAAGAATGAGAAATTATTTTTTCCTGGATCAGGGAATAGCATTTTCCAGATTGATTTGAAATAGAGCTTAGAGGATTAATTGCTAGGTAGAACCATACGAATTATTAATTATTATTATTTATTATCTCAGCTTTCTCAGATTTCTGGAATAGCAACCACACCGCGGAAAAAACATTCAAGGGAATGTAGATGAGCGTAAAAAAAAAACTTATTTAAAAACTTTCTGACAATCCTGCTCAGATTGTTATTATTATTATCATTAATTATTATTTTTATTGAATTGGAAGAAATAGCTAAAATCTATTTCATTTAAGCAATTGAAGCATAGTAAATTAGATAATTTAGCCATTAAACATATTTAGAATATGACTTTGTTTTTTTTTTTTTTTTTTTTGTCTATTAAATATGTATTTGCGCCTGTCAACAATAAGTTAACAATCAGCAAATGTGATGGCGGTAATGATAAAATGACATGACAGGCATGGGGAAGGAAAGTACTCAGCAGTACCTCTTCCCTAACTTGTTCCGATTACTTAGGTTGTCTAAGGAAGGAGATCCCTCATCCAACGCCTTTTTAGTCTCCTGTTCATGTTCTGAGGTATGTCAGGTGTGGCCATGTCTCTTATAAGTCTGTTATTATGTCCGTTTAAATTTGTGTAAAATCGTTGATATAGGGTCGTTATATGTTGGTCAACTGTTGGAAGGTGGAGGTCAGTATGTAGAGTTTTGTTAGTCACGTACCAAGGTGCTTTTGTTATGAGTCGCAATAATTTTGATTGGAACGTTTGAAGTTTTTGTAGGTGGGTCTTTTTAGCGATGCCGTATATTTGTGATGAGTATGTCCATATGGGCTTAAGTAAGTATGTATATGTATTCAGTTTCTGTTTTAGTTTTAGTTTCGAAGATTTGGCAAAAAGAGAGTAAAGTAGTTTGAGTCGTTTGTTAAGTGTCATGCGTTTCATTTTAACATGTGGGCCCCATGTCATCCTTCTGTCGAAGGTGAGTCCAAGGTAAAGTACAGTGTCCGTTTGAGGAATTTGATTGTTGTCAATATAAACTGGAGGACAGGTGTTTTTTCGAAGAGTAAATGTTATATGTTTGGATTTGTCATGATTAAGTCGAATTTTCCATAGTGTGAACCAATCTTGTAGTTTAAGCAAATGATGTTGTAGAGTTAGTGAGGCCTGTGTAGGGTCTTGATGTTTTGTGAGGATTGCTGTATCGTCTGCATATGTAGCTGTCAAGATCTCATCGTCAATAGGTATATCGTAAGTGTATATAACGTAAAGTAGAGGGGCTAGTATTGAACCTTGGGGAACTCCGGCCAAGATTGGATGGACTGAAGACACTTCCGAGCCCTGCCGAACTGAAAAAAATCTGTCGAAGAGGAAAGATTGAAGGAT